CAACACTTGCACGTCATCAATACCTCATCCTTCGAGTCTGTTTGGTTGTCCCCTCAAACGGTACACTTTCCAGGTATTCCTTCTCTCACCACCATTGTCCGTTTATTTCCACTCTCTCCAGACGTCTCTTTGTATGCCTGCTGGTCCAATTTGTGTGTATGAGTCGGCGTGTTTGCGTTTTCATGTTGGCGTGGTAACTGCTCGCTTAAAGTTCACTGAACCAGCACCGCAACGGCCAGTACACTCGGAGAGAGTCATTTTACATTCTGGCTCGGCAACTGGGCCGGTTACGTGTTTATAGTTTAATAGTGCTTCTGCCTGGAAGACTGGTTCGATGGCGTCATTGCGCCACACTTCGGGTCGTCAGGCCTCGGCCGACCGTCCAATCCACGCCCCCGCCCCAGCTCCCGGTCAGGCGGGCGACGCGCCGACCGATTGGCTGTGCAGGCACGTGGGGCCGAATTTCGCCGGCCTCGCGTCCAGCCGGCCGACTCGGCCGCCGCCAATCCGGCCAGCACTGGCCGCTCCGGTGACAGGCGGCAGACTCGCAGGCTGGCAGACCGGCTGGCCACTGGACGCGCCTCAGCATCCTGTCGCGGCAGCGCCGATCGTTGACGTGCACGTGCGCGCGCCTGCCTGCCTGCCTGTCGCCTGGCCCGAGACAGCAAGCCGACAGACACGCAGGCACCACCGACCAACCAATCCGGTGAGCCGTCGCGCCAGGCTCAGGTTCGGCTTCGCTCGACGCGCTGCCTCCGGCTTAAGCTGCACGCCCCACCGCGTGGAGCACTGCACCACCGCGCGGCCAGCCATATTTCGCACAAGTGCACCTACTTTTACTTCACGCACACACACACACACACATGCGCGCACAACACACCTGCGCCTGTTTTCGTCTATTCATGCCCCCTTCTTTTCGGGCGCGCGCGATCCGCCAATGCCATCGCTGCGCCTGCGTGTGGAGCTGGCGGACAGGTAGACGAGGCCAACCAGCCACCGGCTCGTTTGCCTCATTCTCTCCCACTCACCCTCTGCATCCACGTCATCTCGCTCTCTCCCTCGCCGTCGCACTGGGCTGGCTGCCCAGCTCAAACGGCCCTCGACGAGGTGAGTTAATTAGCGGCTTAATTCGTCGGAATTTCTGCTGCTTTTACTGCCGTCGCGGAAGCGCCCAACTGACTTGTCGCGTGAAAGGCGGCTCCATTGACTCACGGACCGGCTTCGGCCCCGCTTCCGGCCCCGAACCCGAGGACAGCATTCTCCTGCAGCCGTCGCGGCGCGCACGTCCATCCGCCCGCTTTCTGTCGCAAAGGCCTCAGTGAGTTGGTCAAGTCAGATTGTGTTTTTCCCCATTTTAATTCCGCCTCCCTTCTCCCCCAGTTATTCTCGCCTCCGACCGGGTTTAGGCCTCCTCCTCCTCCTCTTCCTCCTCCTCATAACCCCCTTTTACTCCTCTCGTCGTCACGGGGCCTCCGCAGCCTCCCACGAATGTCCCTCTTGACCGATTCCCTTTGTCGGCTTGTCCAGTTGAGCCGAACATCGTCGACTTCGCGGCCGCCGCGTTAGGACGCCGAGTGGCATTGTCTCGAGCCCCACCCGTCAGTTCGACCCTCTCTCACTGCCATCGAGCCGCAGCAATGCAGGCAGACGGATAGATAGACGAACAGACCGACAGACATACATACAGACAGACACAGAGACAGACAGGCGGGCGGGGCACAATCGCACATACATCCGTGCCCATGGCCCCTCCCCCGCGTCGATGCCTTCGGTTGCTAGGTGAACTACCGACTGACCGCTTGTAGCACATAATTCCTCCATTAAATCGACTACTCCTCAAGGCATTAATGAGGAGGCCGAGCACTTTCAGAGTCATAATCGAAACTTTAGACTTGGATAATAAACACAGCTCTTATGGCCCATTCGGAACGGGCAATCGACGAGGCCGATCACTCGTTTGCTTGTTCACGTGTTCGCTCATTTCGTTGGTCGTCATGGCACCAGCCGGCTAGACCACAAGTTTGTCGTGTCCGTTGTCGACATGTCGATGCCAAGGGGGCAAGCGAAGCTGCCTGGCGAGTTGGTCGACTTGTCTGCCACGAACGCTAGCTCATCGGCGCTGGAAACCGAAATCACTGCGTCGAGGGCAACCTTGTTGCTAAGGCAGGCTTATGAGCATTTTAGCAGACGAGATCGGCAACGTCATAACCTAACAGCTTGTCAAGCTCGACACTTTCTCGTGGTCGAAGCGGTTCATTCCAATCCCACCATGACAACAGGATTTTAGACTTGCAGACTGACCTTTTCCAGCAAACCGACTCAACACCGAATAGCCCGGCGGGGACGGCAACCACATGCTTCAAGGAGGCGCGAGGGGACTGCGTCTCCAGAGTCACGTGGTCAAGGGCACCACATCGAAGGCCGCCTCTCTCATGTCCGAGCAACAGGAAACGCACTTTCTTCAGGCAAATTTGTGACGCCATAGCAACGCTAAAGATTCGAGAGAACTCGAACTGTGGTGACTCGTGCTGGTGACCCGATCAT